CTGTCAGCCAAAGCATCAATTTCCCGGGACGTATTTGTACGTCTTTCCAAAGTAAGACCTTTTATGTGCACTTCTTTCCATAAAATTACTCCGAAGGCATTGGAATGCAATAAAAGGACCTTGCCAAAGTTTGCGAAGGATATTTTCAGATTATTTCCTTCTTTATCCCCCCCCACTCAATACATCACATACACGCGGTTACGTTGAAAACGGTTAACATTGGGAAGCGAATAGCGTAACTTTTAATCGGCAGTTAAGGGATTTTTTAAAATTATAAACCGTACAAAAATTATCAAGATAAGTGTTAATTTTTTTATATTTGACAGAGTCCCATGAGGTCAGTGGTAATTATTAAACTCGTTCTTAACTGAGTATTGTTAAATTAATTATAAAAAACGTTGTGAAGTATTGGCACATTTATAAGTGTATTATATCAGTGTAAATTTGTATTTTACTTTTTATTATGTCAGATAATGTATTTTGTTTATTTACTTTCAGTGAATGAATATTTCTTTTAAATAATCTTTCGTTTTCAACTTTTCAATATGCTCGCGTATGCCTCAATATGCTCAATATGACTCGTAGAGTTGTCACGTCTCTCAAGGGGGGGGGGCGCCCCACAGTTTGAGAAATACTGCGCTATGTAAAGATATAGCTGTAATGTGATTTGAGAAAAAGTTTAGAAGAATCTTAAGTCCGAGAGTTAACCTAGCCGTGCCGGTACAGACGAACCAAAAGGGGGTTCGAGATTAAAAGGAACACTGTCGGATTATAGCCACTACAGAAGTGCTAAAGACGTAGCTGTTTACCTAGGATATAGCGGTAAGAGAATTTATATAAGCTATAAGGAAAGTGCGTATGTTAGTGAGATATGAATTTGTATAAAGTTAGATTCACAGTGGTCAATTGCGTGATTATTCGGTAATACGTGTTGCGTCTTCTCATTCTAGATCATCTTACTTAGATTATTATTGTTGTGTATTGTGTCTAAACTAAGATCTTAATAAACAGATTTTAGAATGAATGATTTGAGTGGTTCTTCGTTCTTCCCCACAGAAACAGGTCGCGTAGATAGTGTAGAACGTATGTCCCCACGGGTGGGGGCTTCACAGAGTTGCTGGTTGATCACCTCCATCCGCTTATGCTGCTCTGTTATCAGCTCGGTAACGGCGTTTTTCAGCAAGACAACTATACCTCTAACAAGTCCCAGTTGGCTACTGGCTGGTTGGATAAGCATTCCTCCGACTTTTCTATCATAAATTGACACCCTAGAATCCTCGACTTAAATCCTACTGAGCATATTTGGAACAAGGCATGAAATGCCATCACACAGCATCAATGAACCTTAGTGAATTATGGATAGTTTTAGCCAATACTTGGCAAGTAATTCCCGTGGAACGTTTCCAGAAACTTGTTGAATCTATGCCTCGTCGTGTGGCAACCATTATCAAGAGGCCAGAGGAAGTCCAACTCGTTATTAGGTAAGTATCCCTAATTCAGTGGCATTTCAGTGTATTTGAACATGTTTATCCAATTATCAAATCTGAAATTTTATTTAAACCTAACAAGTTAAATCTAATGTCAGTTTTGATTTCAATTGAGAGAACATGTATTCAGTTTTACAGATTCTTTTTTCTCTTTTGGTGAAAAAGTTGAAGTAATAAAATCGTGAGAAACAAAATTTTAGTTCTTTCCGACTATGTGAAGAACACTGCACAAAGTATTTGATATTGAAAAAAAAATATTTTCAAGCAAATCTAAGAAAGGATTTTCAAAATACGCGAAGGAGAATATTGCTGAGACATTCTTTTTCACGTTTTATTTTGTTGAGTTATATTTTCCCGCTTTATTGAAGAGAGCAATACGGTAAAACACAGCAGAAAACATTCCGAAACGAAATATTTTGAAAGTACATCGGAATCAAACAGTGAAAAATATCGTTTGTATAAATGAACGGTTCACTTAGTCTTGTCAAGTTTCAATCTTCACTCGTGACATTTAAGAAGATACAGTAACGCATTTTCCAATACTCAGTGTCTTATAAATTCTTATTGGAAATTCAATTTTACGTAAAGCATTTAGAAACTGCGATATAATTTAGTTGTAATAAAATATAAAAATTATGAAAAATTATTCATGTGTTAGTGATAATTTATATAATTCTTACCTTACGAATAATCATGAGGGTAATTAATGCTCAAATTTTGAAATGATTTGAAACTCGGCAAAAATGCTTCATTTTTTAAGGAGAGATCCCTTTAAAATGTGTTTAAAGAAAATTGATTCCGAGGGGGTGGGATATGGGGGCTTATAAGATAAATTTACTTATGTTTTAGAAATAAAAAATTTGCTCTTTTTAAGTGAAGAGATGACAGCTATTAGAATGCTTTTCAGTTCAACTGAAAGCTTAAGGCTAGGACTTCGATATAAAGAACTTAAAAACAATATGTAGTTGTACAACATCATCAACTGCTACCAGTGAAGAGGGTGGGTAACGATTGTGTTCAGTGGCGCATATAGGAATTTTTGTTTGTGGTGGTGGGGTCCAGAGTCGAAAGTCTACCGTTCTTATATCATGCTCAAATACGCCGCCCAACATATTTCTTTGATTTTGTAGATTTTCGGGAACAAAAAACAGTAAAAATTTAATTATTGAATAAATAATTAGCATTGATTAATAAAATTAACAAATAAAATTAATTATTAATAACAAATACTTACTTAAATCTTACGTACTATATACATAGGATTATAATCAATTGAAAAAAAAATCATGGTCTTTGGGGAGGGGCAGATCCGGCTCCCCCTTGTGTGCACCACTGGTTTTGTTATATACATGATATTTATCTTTAAGAGATTAATTAATGACAATTTATACTTATAACTTTATGTACATTATCAGTGGCGTAATGTACACCCTCGTATTGCTGGGGGACTCACGGACTCTAGGGGTCCACAGCTTGACTGACGCTAAGTACGTATTTGAGCTTGGGGTCCAAAACCTTAATTTCTCCCTAATATTCTCCGTTAGGCCACTGTGTATTATATAACTACTTATATGATTTGACTGCATAAATCTTATATATAAATTTGAATGCTTGTGACGTTGTATATTGATTCATTTTTAACTAGTAGACATTCACACCGTTTATTGCACCTCTCCAAAATTTTGCAAGGGGAGCTTCACTCATTTTTCAAAGAAGCAGTAAGCATATGTGTGGCAAAAAAAAAAAAAAAAAAAAAAAAAAAAAAATTCAAATTTACTTTTGATGATTTTTTTCTAAAACACCCATTCTTAACGCCTTTGAGTATTCGTGCGAAGTTACCAAATGTCATGATATGCAGCCAATATTGGGAAACTGTTCCCGCTCAGGTTTAGAAAACGATTACTACGATGGCTGATCAAAATAAGTATATAATAAGACTAAAATTATATATATATATAAAAGAAAACTCTTTAATCACGTCATCCATTACATGGTCTTTTTTAAAATAACTTCCACGGCACATAATTCAGGTATCCCAACGTTCTGTCCACTTCTTAAAAACATGTAAAGGTCCATTTTGTGAGAGCTTTATTAAAATAGCCTCCCAGCCTTTACTCATGCTTTGTTGCTTGCAAGACATTTGCTTCGTAATGGTTTCTTAAGTTGAGGAAACAGTCAGAAATCGCATGGAGTTTTATCAGGACTGTATGAAGGGTGGGGTAATATCTCTACGTTGTTCTGCTGTGAAACATCTAGTACGTAACGAGAAATATGTGGCAGGGCATTCCAAAGGTGCAATAGGAAGCCATTTCGGAACAATGGACGTTCCCTTTTAACGTGCTGTATCATTGTTCACAGGACATTCACGTAATACGAGCCGTTTGTGGTAGTACCGGGTTCGACAGCGTGTTTTTTGTTACACTATTCCTTCATAATCAAAGAAAATTATGGTCATAACTTTATAAGCCAATTCCACAGCTTTTGCTTTCTTGGGAGTAGGTGAAGATGGATGTTTCCATTCAGTGCTTTGTTGTTTTATGGTTGGATCAGTGATACAACCAAGCTTTGTCTGCTGTGATGAAGCGTTTTAAGATATTTCCGCCTTCTTGTGTTTCAGTCTTTAATCATATCGTATCATATCAAAGGTCTCCGATGCTGATTTTTGCAGATTTTGCTTCCATTTCGACAAATGGTCGCGTCTTGTTGGCGCCCTCAAACACGCTTCAGTTCGAGCACGTGATACTCAACAACATGATTCTGTACACGCCATCTATCGGTAGCATTTGTTAATACGGACAACAAACTTTTCTTATTCCACAGAAATTAACATTCCGATGAGTGGTTTCGCGGCAGTAAAATTAATTTTATTACTTATTGAACAGGCTACGTACATTTGGAGACATCTTTTGAATTCGCAACGCTCACATTTTCGAGAATATTAAGTGTTCTCTATACTAGGATAAGAAAATTTTCTGTTTTTGCATCATAACACTAAAAACAGAGCGACTCAGACGCGGGAAATTTGGTACGCAAAAACTTCATGTCATGATGGTATGCACCCTGAAGAGAATTTTTCGGAATTCACTTTTTTTAAATTCAACTTTTAAGCGATTCTCCAAAGCTCTATTTTTTTAAAATTCAGTTTTTATCACGTCATGTGACATCACTCCCATCTCGGAATGAGAAATTCGCAATTTTTATTCATTTATTGCTGTATTTATCCATCTTTTTCTTTATGTGATAGAATTACAGTTATTATTTTCCAAGAAATAATTAACAATATCAAAATTTTTTTTAAAGTCAATTCCTATTTAGTTCATCAAAGAAATTTTTTATTTTAGTTACTTTTTATTAAATAATTACAATTAATATAAATATGTAAGTACATATGACAGAATCACCCTATTAAGTAGCAAAAAAAAAGCGATTTTCCTTTGCATATATGGTGTCAGACTATTATTTCGTTTGTGTTTCTATTTATTCATTCATAAATCTCTTTCTCAGAAATTAGGCCATCCCAGATAGGATTTGAATCCATGACTTTTGGATTGGAAGTCCAAAGCGGTATCCATTACGCTACAGGGACACGTTTCCTTTTTTATATATGGTATTCGACTATTTTATTTTTGTTTACTATTAATTAATTAATAACTAATATTTGAAAGAACTGTATTAACATCAAATTTCATCCATTAGAAGTTGAAAAAAATGTATTTGAACTTGAGTGGATGAATAAAAGGTATATTTTATTAACGATTGAAAATTTGAAGATATATATATATATATATATATATATATATATATATATATATATATATATATATAAAATAAAGGGCACAAGTGGTGAACTAATAGTAGGAATTAAAAAAACCCTATCCTTTCAGTAATTGAATTTTTTTAGTTTTATTGATTTGGCAACAAGGTTTTGCTAAAAATTCTAGCTTACTTGAGGATATTTTATAAAAGTAAGGCTGTGTCCTGGAATAAATAGCTTTGATTTATATGCTTAAAAAGTCTTTAAGCTAAGAGTTGCTTTGATTTATAAGTTTTCTGGCTAACAATTTTGCAGTTTACTTAAAATAATTCAAATTAAAGTTTAAAAGTTTGACCTCATCATTTATTTTTATCTTTCTAACTCGATTGTTATATTTTTTTTCAATTCACCCGTGGGAAGAAAGGGTATCGCAGCTAGCATGTACATCAAAGAATACCTTTTAGATCACAAAAGGAGCTGAATAAATTCGAGTACTATGTGGATATATAAAGGAATTTAAATAAAAGGTATCTATTCTTCTTTTGTATTCTTTAGGGAAAAAAAGCAGTCTTTTTCCTTTAAGAACAATTTTGTAGTAATTTATTGCATCCTGTTCTTTCCCTCAGTTTTCCTCGTTGCTTTAGGTAGCTACGAATAAAAGGGAAACGATTATTTTACTGTATTTTTTCATCTTTCATCTTATATCGAAAAGTAATCTCGAAGCTTTTGGGTTTTAAATTTCTTCAGTATTTATGGAAATCTTACATCGATTACCATTGTCTGATTATTGTTCCATTAGAAGTGTATGAGGGGTTGTTGATAATAAACTTTGCAATTCTGAGTTATAATCCCACGAAAAAAGAATTTTGAAAAAAAAATATTCCATTAAAGTTTAATTTTAATAATACCTATTTGGCGAGAGTGAGGTCTAGATCAGGTGTCGACCTCGTCATCTGATAGTGAATCAAAGTTGCAAAGTGAATGAATTATCGTCGCACTATAAAACAACACGAGGGCTACTGGCAACGCATCTTGTTATTTTGAACCATAGTCAAGAAAAGAGGAAACCTGAACATCTCTTCTCCAAATTACCACATCACATCCCATCAACGGAAGGACTTTAAGCCACGACATATTTAACGTGCATCAGCCCCTCTACACGGAGGGTCTTGGTAGAACTAATTGACTAATCCACAGAATCTGACCTATCATCGTTGAAGAACTGCTCGCAAACATAGCCCTATCGGGTATTTTTAGATGACTAAAAATTTTTTCCAATCCACATTGTAAATTACATAAGTGAAATTATAAAATATTTCTATTGACACATAATAATTATTTATCTTTACAGGGTTAGAAAATTAAATTAAATAAGAAAAAGCTCTTTTAAGATCTTTAAAAAATTAAAATTTAGAGATAAAAAAGTGGTTGGAGCTAGCTTTACCAATCCGAATGTAGCTGAAGTCTGATGTTCCAAGGAGAAAAAATATTACTGTGAAAAATTGACTAAGTCCAGAATGGCAAAGGAATCGTTCTGATTGGCCGACACAAGAGTTCGGCTAATTAGGTATATATAGATCGTAGAATTTTTGGAATGGTTCGTCTGGGAATAGGCGCCTTCGGCGCCCGCGATCATCTAATTTTAGTTTAGTTAGGAATGGTTCGACTGAGAATCGGGATTTTACACGCTGCACTGAGATCTGTATTTTTCATGTACCAGTGTGCATTTAAAATTTGTTTTAAAATTACATTTTGGGAGCTTTTGATAAAATATTGGATTTACTTTGCATGTTTTTATAATGGGAAGGCTTAGGGGAGAAGGTGTTTCAGAACCAGTGTGTAGGTAAGCAATTTGTTATGTCTACTTAAATTAGACTTTCTACAAATAAGGGTATATATTTAACGCGCATTATCTTTAAATTTATTTCTAATGTACATAATGTGTTATCGAAAAAAGTGAGGTTTTTATGAATAATGACATCAAGGTATGCTGAAGCCAGGCGATTCTTTGATTTTGGAGGGTAATTTTTGGAGGTGATTTTCTAAAAGAGAAGAACACTGATTCCGTCTTAGAAATATTATTAGCAATCTTTCAAAAGGAGAACCAAATCTCCACGTCAATAAGGTGCTCGTTTATGTTTTGAACAAGTGCTTGTGGATCTTTATGTTGTGAAAGGATGGCTGTGTCGTCGGCATGCATACATACAGGGCATAGTTTTAGTACTTTTTAGAATGTCGTTATCAGAAATATTAAATAGCACAGGGCCCAGAATTGACCCTTTTGGAATTCCGGTATTAATTAATTTATCTTGGGAAATCTGAGCTATCCTTACAGGTATCAGCTCCCTTATTGGAAGGTCATCTGTACTCTCAAAACCTCATACATTTTTGCCGTTTTTGAGCTGTCCTCTTTGTTGCAGCTCCTCATCAGGTAGCGCTACAGCATATCAACTTTTGCACCGTTTAATCAATCGCCAAGTAGCCAACATGGTCGCCAAAAATGATGCCAACTTGGCTCTATCACCAAAATTTCGCTACGTTTATATTGAATTGTCATTATATTGTAAGGAACGGCTTTGCTTGCGAATAATAATATTTTAACATTAAATAAATACAACAGAAAGTAATATTAACGTATTACACATCCAGATATAAATGATTTACACTATTTTAAGTGTTCATTATACAAAATTTGTAGCAATGTGTTATTTTTGCTGAACAGAGTTCAGCTTTGGAGGGTGTTTTCAAAAAGCGCCCCACAAGAGCGTTAAAGGGCATTATAAATAAAAAAAAAATTCTTTTTATTAGCTATTAGAGTCGCCCAGCCAGTATGGTGGCTATGACCCTCGGTTTGTAACTGAGTGGGTTCAGGTTCGAATCCCGAATAAGACATGGTTGTATCTTCTTCGGGAAAGAAGTCGGTCTTTTGCCTGTAATGGATTTCTGTCTCGAAAAGAAAGCAGCGCATCCCTTCTTGTTATATTTTGGGATCCTCATCTGTAATAAATGTGTATATTCTTCTGTCTGTATTGTTTGCTTTCTGTTCTTCTCTTGTATTTCGTATGTTCCCAGAATAAAAAGAACACACGACAACAACATCAGCTATTAGACCTTCAGACTTAAAATTTAACAAATATGGTCTTTTTTTGTTCAGCTGAGCTATGCAAAAAGCTTTTTTTTGTTTGATTTGCAATTCACGTAAAATTAATCATTAAAAACTTCTTTATCCCTTTGTATTGTTTTAATTTTTCAATCCACCCGTGCAAAGAACGGGTATACCAGCTAGTTTTTTTAAGTGTGATGTATAGTTTTCATGAAAATAAAGGAAATTTAAATATTTAACCTTTTATTATTCATCAAACAGTTTTTAAGCTTCAAAGAATTTTATTAATTTATTACTAGTTAACCATATAAAAGTATTATTTTTTAGAAAATGGAATGGATCAGTGTCACAGAATACTAAGCTTGCATTTTTTAAAAAACTGATTCATGTGTCAATTAAAACAAATTAAAGTCCATGGAATTAATAGGGATTATTTTAAAACTGCATGCACAATAAATTTACTTGAATTTTCCTTCTTTTTTTGATGAAAAGATTAAATAAAATAATACAGTTAAAAAGATTATTTAAAAGGTTGTGAAGGTATAAGTAGAGGCATAATATTTTATGGAATTAGGATCTAAGAAAATCAAACTTTTATTTTTAACTTGAAGCGAATTTAAACTTATTGATTAGTTTGCCTTTATACTTTTTAAAGAACTAATGTTCAAGCAATGTGTACTTTTTTCTTTAGAAAAGAACTTTAAGAATGCTTTAAGGTATCCAACTACGTTCGGAACCGTGATTTTAATAAAACGCGTAAATGGATAATTTTCATGATATTTAGTGTCACTTAGATTAGAGTATATGTATAAAATTGTTTTAAGGACATTTTGACAAAAAATTATTTAAATACAATATTTAGGCAAAAAATTAACTTAGAATAACCTTTAATCAATATCTCCTTTTATAGAAAATGCTTCTAAAATAATAATATTTTGCTTATATAAAGTAAAGACTTCTCCAGAGAGTCTGAACTATTTTTTTTCAAAAATTCACATTATTTTTAGAGTTACAACCAATTGAAATAATTATCGGCGTTTTTTTCTTAAAATTTCTCCACTCTGTTGTCGTAAAACAGTTTTAAGTTATATATTTCAAAAATTCTAGTTGAGCCTCTGTACAGAGATCTGAGCTATATACAGGAAAAATATTATTATAATAGAAGCATTTTTCACAAAAGGAGGACATTTTGAAAATTGGTCATTCTATGTTCATTTTTTGTCAAAATATTGTACTTACGGGGTGTTGGAAAGCTAAAATTTTATTTTTTTGACAATTTGAGAATTTTACATTTTCAAATTGTATAGATTTTAACCTTTCTAAAAATACCTTACTTTAACCTCTAGAGTATTTAGAAGCCCTTAAAACTTATTTTTAAATAATCGTTGAATTTGGGCCACGCCCATTTTAATGGCGAAAATTGTAAACAAATTACTTGGTTTTTGCTTAAAAGTGTAACGACTGATATAAACCAAAACATGTATCTTTTATTTTAAATTGAGCCTTTTATTTTTTTATTTCCTAGCCGATTAGAAGTATCACTGTATACATTAAAATCAATTTATCCCAAAATGTAAATTTTAATGTGCGATGTACCTTTTCTGAGAAACTACTGTTCACAAGTATGTAAATTTTTTATGAATTATTTATAATGATGTCTAATATGTGCTAAAATGAGCTTTTTGTAAAAAACTCAAAAATTTAATTTTTACAAATTTTTTAAGTAAAA